ATCTCTTGGCAACAGTGAGACAAGCCTCTCTCATCTCTAGAGCCCTGCAAATCTGCAGATATCCACTTTATACCTGGAGTGTCTACATACATGAATGTATGCACACAACCATGACAATTTTGCAGATATCAATGTGACTACAAATTTTGTCTCTAAAACCCTGCAAATTTGCAAATATCTGTTTATAGCCAAGGATTTTTGCAGATACAGATACCAACTTTGTATACACATAGGGCTCTACTCATCTCTACTAACTTATTTTACCCTATGATTTCATGCCATTCAATAAGTTTCTATTGGCGGAGGCTCTTCTGTTGCCTGCAGATGAGCCCGGGGGCTGCCGGGAATGGAGGAAGGTAGAAGGGGGGGAGGGAGGCGAGCGGGGCACCGCCCAGAGGGCCCCGGCGCCCCACCACCACCCGGGCCTCCCTGGGGCGAGCGAGGGTAGGTCGGAGGAGGCGCGGGGTCTATAGTAGACCCAGAAGGTCAGTTTAAGGTACACAACTCCAGCTATGTAAATGGCATAGTAGCAGTTGACATATCTTAAGCCAACCTTGGCACCACCTTCACAGCAGGAGGTCGATGGGGGGCAAACGCTCCTGCAGGCTTCCCTTACTCCTGTAACTGTGAGGAGTACTACCAGGAGCACCTTAGCACCAGAAAATCAATCTCCAGCACGGCAACTGGAGGGGAAGCCTGAGGAGCCTAATTCACCAGCAGTTTAGAGGTAGAAATGCAAGCTTGCAAAGCATAAAAACTTTAACAGTGTTATGATTGGTGTAACTAGTATATTATGCCAAACAAGAAATATAAACCAGGAGAGAGTTATTTACTATAAAACTGCTGAACATAAATAGCATAAAGTAATTTTAATCAGATATTGGTGGTTCAAATATAAGACCCATTAATGTTTGGAGAGTCAAACTCCTCTGACTACAATTAGAGATATCTAATATTTATACAGTGTTAGCAGCTAAGGTTTGTGATTCATCCAGTACAGACAGTCCCCGACTTACGCGGATCCGACTTATGTCGGATCCTTAGTTACAAACGGGGCTTTTCTCGCCCCGGAGGACTCGGGCAGCGGGACCACGGCGCGTCTGGGCGGTCCCGCTGTCCGTGTCCGCTGGGGAAGGAGGGGCCCATCTAGTGCGCCCCTCCCCCCAACAGACCAGGCTTTTGTTGTGGACCCTGGGGCAGAGCAGTTGGGGCGCTGCCGGTTGGTCTCACAGCGCCGCTCTGGGCACTACTGGACCAACCCGGCAGCACCCCAGCTGCTCTGCCCCAGGCGTCCTGATTCAGCCGCCCGAGGCAACTCTGCCTGGGGCTTCCTGGAATCAGCCACTGATCAGTTTCAGCAGCAGCTGACTTGGGGACGCTTGGGGTTCTTAAGTTGAATCTGTATGTAAATCAGAACTGGCGGTCAGTTTCAGCAGCAGCTGACTTGGGGACACCTGGGGTAGAGCAGCTGGGGTGCTGCCGGCAGGACCCCAGCAACTCTGCCTTGGGCTTCCTGTAGTCAGCCGCTGGTCAGTTTCAGCAGCGGCTGAATCTGGACGCCAGTTCCGACTTACATACAAATTCAACTTAAGAACAAACCTACAGTCCCTATCTTGTACGTAACCCGGGGACTGCCTGTATATGTAAACTTGATTTCTCTCAAATTCAACAGGAAAAAAGTAACAGAGAAAACACTGGAAACTACTCTCAAAATAATACACTGCTGAGCTTTGAAGAGATTCTCAGGCACTGTAGTGATGGGGGCAATATATGCATCTAGACAGACGTAATTATATGTAACCGAAAGTGAAACATTTTGGAAAAGGCAACTCGGGATAACCTACCTATTTAAAAAACACTCAGATCTCCCCTGACAAGGCAGAAAATATGCAGGAGATTTAAAAGCAAATCATACATACACTCTAGAAACTAAGTATGTGCCTATACTGATTTATATGATCCAAATCTTTCTCTAACAGGAGTGGGGAACATTTTTTGGGTTGGGGGCCACTGAGCCATAGAAAAAAATAAGTCAGGGGTCACACAAAAGGTGAGAAGCAAAACAAAAAAGACAGACAGAAAGACCACAAAAACCACATCACTGAGGTGGCCCCTGACTAAGAAGCAGAAAGACACTCCCAACATTGACCTTGCACACCGAAGCCTAGGGGGCCTGAGCTAGCTAGATTTTGTGGGCCCCTCTATGCTGTGGGGTGGGTCAAAAATAAGGGTTTCAGTGTGTGGGAGGGGGCTGCTGGGAAGCAGGCTTCGGGTGTAGGGTCTGGGCAGGATGGAAGGTGTAGAAATGGGTTGGAGACTGATGAATCTGGGAAGGTGGTAGAGTAGTAGGGTGCAGGAGTGGGCTGAGGGTGGGGGTCTTTTGCATTCTTTCAAGATGACTGCAACATAGAAATGAGGGAAGAAAATAGTCAAAAAAGAAATAGAGAGTGAGACTAAGAGAGATCCCCTTGCAGAACAGAATTTGGGTAACCACACAGAAGGAACAATCAGGATGAGCTTCTCAAAGCATCATACAGATCAGTGTCAGAGAAAGGCTCAATATTTAGTAGATCTGCAATAGATTACCAGACAGCACTTAACATTTGAGAGATAAGTGATGTAGATAGATAGTGAGCAAGTCAGTAACCAAGGACATATCAAGATCAAGCTCTAGACTGCTGCATCAAACTTTTACAGTTACCAGCTGTAACTAGAGTACATTTTAAATATATGTGGTAGTGTACTGTTCTATCTAAAATCTATGTTATCAGAAATAGTTTCTCTGATAGCCCCACAACACAACCAGTGTTATAATCATTCACTTCTGACTCTGTAACAGATGTGGATTTGTTTAACTGGAGGCAACTCAAACAACATGAAAACAGAAGAATGGTATGCAAATTAATAAAAGGAAATGTGGGAGAGAAAAAAGAAGATTGGCTTGTTTGCCTCTCAGGTGCAAAAGAGGGAAGAGGCAAGGAGAGCGAATCCCTTGTCACAATATTAACATCCTACCCAAAGTCTCTAAAATACAACAGGCAGAGACCTTTTCTTGCCTGGACACTGTACAAGAGGTATATAAAAACCAGGCTCTAGAACAGTTAACTCTGTTCTTGATAGAGCTGTCTAACAAGAAATAGAGAAGTGTCTGGCTATGACAGTGACTATTACTGTAGAAGTCCAAAAATGCAATAAAGATTAGAATTCATCACATACTTGAGATAACATAGTCATGTGTGATCCCTGCAACCAAAAGTCTCATACTCCATGGTCTTCTTTTCTCAATAGAGTATGTTGCTATTTAAAACTAAGTGTGAGAGAAAAGTTACTAATCCAAATGTCAGTACTGAAGTACTCACGTATATTCAAGGATTTGTAAGGGTACTATCATCTTAATATATGCTCAGCTCCTTTTAAGAAGACAGCAAAGAATACTCTCCATTCATTTGCCCTACAGAAAATAAAATAACTTGTACCAGATGGGATCTCGAAGGCAGGGGCAAGGAAGAGAACAGAAACATGGTGTAGTCAATTTAACAGTAACTTGACTAAAATTATGGTATAATTTTTAAAAGATATCAGGTGAAACATTTTCCCCTTCAAAGCTTTTTTTAAAAGCCTGCATTAACAGGACAGTAGGGCAAAACAACAGTTTTTTCTTTGGACAACTGAGCATATCACAGAAAAGTTCAAAAAGGAATAAGACAGGCTAGTAAATTTTAACTGCTGTGAGAAATCAGAAATATTTGTAAATTAACATAGGTTGCATCTTTCTAGTCTGGCACTCTCTGGTCTGGTAACATCAATGCTCCGGCATGATTTTAGTTAGCCAGTTTACTTATCATGGGTATAGCCAAGTTTCCAGGGGTCCCATAAAATCTGTATAAAGCTACCAGTTCTAGCGCTCAGTGTTCTGTGCTGATATTTAGCTTTAATTTACCCCTCAATGTCTACTAAGCGGCGGTAAGCAGTAGCAGTGTTGGTAATGCTTCTAGACAACATTGACTAGTTGTGGAATAGCCATCACTGGAAATATTTAAGAGCAGGTTAGACAGAAAGATATCTATCAGGGATGATATAGACCTCAAGGTCTCTTCCAGTTCTAATATTCTATGATTCTGTGATCTTCCCATGGTTTGGCAAATTCTCTGGTTCAGCACTACTCACTTCCGAGGGTGCTGGACTAGAAAAATTCAATGTGTACGTAATCCTGTCAAAAAACCTTAGCTGATTCAAGACAGGACATGTTTATTGTTTACCTCCTCAGAGTTAGAGATAATGCTAACAAATGGAATTTCCAGATACTATAGGTTCAGACATTCAAGCCAGGAATGGCACAAAGTGGCTTTCAACCATCTAGAGAGTTAGCCAGCACAGAACTCTTCTGGAATGGCAGAAATCTAGTGGAGGCAGTGTAAGTTAGCGCTGTTTCCTTGGTGCTTTAATTTACACTGGAGCTGTATTATGAAACCACATACTATCTTCCACTTGAAGCTTGCTAGGAAATACAGCAACAAGCATCTGTGAAGAGACAATAGCTACAGAAAACTCCTATTAGAATAAGATTGACTATTATCACAGCTCTATACTATCACAGCTCTACTCCAACACAAGAGAAGATTCAATTTAAGATTCATTTCAGAATCTTAGTATTTCAGAGCATGAAAAATTTGTTACAATTTAGAAAAGAACAAAAAATATTTAACTGTGCACAGATAGACACCAACCTTGCCTCCACTGTCCCGAACATAATCCACTATATAAATGAAAACTTAGTGTGTTCCAAATTTCCTGACAAGAAAGCCACTTTTAATATAAAATATTATACTGTATCTTTCATATCAAAATATCTAGATGTGTTTTACAGAATGCACTTTACCCACCACTCAAAAGCTGGCATGGAAACGTGGTAACCATGCTATGGCGTTATCTTGAGGAGGGTGGAGAGGAGCTAAGATTACTAACTGAATCCATATTCAGTCTTACAATATTCCACTCACCTGCTCAGTTGGGGCCAATGAATTCTGGGGCAGACAAAAAGAGACTAAGGTTTTCATTCTTGTAACATAAAACCACAATCTGTAGTATATTTTGGAACCAGCTCAGAATTCATAATGATCTAGCTGTGTTGTAGATGCCTTACAAAACACTGTTCCATCTGTGTAAAAGAAAACAGGAGAATGCAGGAGACTGTGTGATGCAGAGAAGATAGAGAAGCTAGCAAAAATGGAACCCCTTTTCCACATTTTCCCCCCTCAAGCAACGTACAAAGCCCTGCAAAACATACACACAATCTTAACCCTTCTTCTTCTTCCCCAGAAATGTGTACAAAGTAGATGGACCAGACTGTACTGTCAATGGCACAGTTCAGACAGCCTAGTCGATTTTCACCTGAACTAGTAAATGTGAGACAATTTTGCAAGACTGGCATAACATGTAATGAAGTCATCCTGGCAGCTCCACAATCAAGACTGCAATGACTTGTATAATTAAACCCAAGGAATAAATGCTTTAAATTAAAACATTAAAATATATACAAGTAATTTTCCAAAGTGGGCTATTGCACAAACTTTAGACATATGTAAATGTGTACATATCTGAATATTAGAAAATGAAAGGTTTAACAATCATTGCTTTTTTAAAATTACCAGAAAATATACAATATCTCAATACAGTACAATAAAAGCTACATATGAAAGCTTATATACTTCTTTCTCACAAAGCTTCAGTTCCTGAACTGTACACAACACAGAAGTAAATTTAAAAAAGGAAAGGAGCCTACCAATCAATCTGTGACACAGGTATACCCAATCATGTCCAACCATTTACTCAATATTACATTGAATGGGTCATGTCTCTATGAAATAGTTGATTGTCATGATTATTGCAAGATGTTTGTATAGGAATCAACTTTAGAGTTATGGAACACAAAATCATCATAGAACTGAAGGGGAGCTCAGGAGGTCATCAAGTCCAGTCCTCTGCACTCATGACAGGATCAAGCACCACTGACCATCCCTGATAGGTGTACGTCTAACCGGCGCTTAAAAATTTCCAATGGTGACAATTTCACAGTCTTCCTAGGGAATTTATTCCAACACGGACAGTTAAGAAAGTTTTTCTAATGTCCAATATAAACATCCCTTGCTGCAGTTTAGGTCTGTTGCTTCTTGTCCTAACAGAAGTTAAGTAGAACAATTTTCTTCGCTCCTCCTTGTACCATTTTTTTTAAGTACTTGAAAGCTGTTATGTCCCCTCTCAGCTCTCTCTTTTCTGGTCATATTTTCTAGACCATTAATCTTTTCTCTCTCTCCCTCCTTCCCCTTCCCCCTTTGTTGCTCTTCTCTGGACTTTCTCCAATTTTTCCACATCTTTCCTGAAACGTGCCCAGAACTTGACCTGCTCCAGCTGAGTCTTAATCAGTGCAAAGTAGAGAGGAACGATTGTTTCTTGTGTCATGCTTACTACACTCCTGTTAATACATCCCAGAATGATGTTTTTTGTGCAAGTGTCCCATTCTTGACTCATATCTACCTTGTGATTCACTATCAACCCTAGATCTCTTTCCACAGTATTTATTCCTAAGCAGTAATTTCCAATGTTGTATGGGTGCAACTGATTGTTTCTTCCTAAGTGAAGTATTTTGCATTATCCTTATTGAAGTTCGTTTCCTATACTTTTTGACCATTTCTCCAGTTTATCTAGATCATTTTGAATTAAAATCCTATCCTCCAAAGCACCTGCAACCCCTCCCAACTTGGTAGCATCTGCAAACTAGGGAGGTAAATGGTTATCCAGTTAACTGGTAAAGACTCACCCTTAACATGCTTACCAGTTCCAGTTAACCAGTAAGTGCTGGAGCAGTACTTCACCCGCTCTGGGCAAAGGGCTTCAGCCCCTTGGGGCCCACCAAAGGCAGGGGCTGCTCCTGCCAAGTCTGCTCAGGTTACATGCTGGCTCCCCAGAAGCAGGGCTGGCAGCCTGCTCTTGGGGAGGCTTTGCTTTGGGATCTGCAGTATTGTAACAAGGCATCTGCCCTGCAATGGGCCCTTTAAGGGGTTAAAACCCAGCCCAGGGTGAGGGCTGGAGCCATGGAGCAAGCAACTGCAGCAGATAGGTGCCAATTAGGGTACATCTACAGACTGTATAAATAAGGACTTAAGGAGGGAGGAAGGGGGAGACTCACTCTTGGTCTGGCTGGGGAGCAGGAGGGACCTAGCTGCTAGGGAAGCTAGAGGCTTCCTGATCTAGAGCAGGGCTGGGGAAAGTCAGCCAAGCTCTCAGGCTGCAGGGCCTGAAGCAAGGTCTCAGGATACTAGCGCTTCAAAGTAGCTGCCAGGATAGGCAAAAGCAGCAGGTTCACAACCCCTTGCCAATGATGAGTGGCCATTTTCTGACTGCAATTTGCCCCTGTGGCAGGGGCTAGATGAAGACTGGCAATGGGTCAGTGAGGCAAGGTGGGCATAGAGGGATTGAGGGTCTCAAGAGGGGGGAGGAATCCAGAGCGTGGGAGAACAGAAGTAGGGAAATACCCAGGTAGGAGGGCACAACGGTCTGGGACAGACGTGGGCCCTGACCTAGAGTGGTGGAGAGTAACAGTAACAGTGGGTGGGTGAGACACCAGCTAGAAAGGGGCACTCTAGCACCAAAAATACTAATTCCCTAAATAATGAACAGGAGGCACCCTTGGTGGTGAGGCCCAACTCCCCTCCTCAAGTTACACGTATAAAGCTTACTTAAGCTTAAATAAGCTTTATACTGCAGATCCTGCAACACATGTAACCATTAGGAGTTTAGTGGTTACAGTTACATTTTTAAATGACTTCTTATGTCCTTACTTCAAACTTTGTAAGTGTACTTTCTATGCCGTTATCTAAATCACTGATGAAAATATTGAACAGAACTGGACTCAGAACTGATTCCTGTGGAACCCAATTTGTTATGACCTTCCAGCATAACTGCAAACCATTGATAACTACTTTCTGGAATAATTATCCAACCAGTTATGCACCCAATTTATAAAAACACCATTGAGATTGAACTTCCCTAGTTTGTTAATGAGAAGGTCATGCAAGACTATATCAAAAGCCTCACTAAAATTTGGATATACCACATCTACCCCTCCCCCTTATCACCAAAGCTGGTTACCCTGTCAAAGAAAGCTATCAGGTTGTTTTGACAATTTTTTCTTGACAAATCCATGCTGTTACTTACCACCTTATATATTTGCAAATGGATTTCTTAATTATTTACTTCATTATCTTTCCCAATACAACAGTTAAGCTGACTGGTCTATAATTCCCTGGGTTGTCCTTATTTCTCTTTTTATAGATGGTTACTATATGACTGGGTCTAGACTACATCCCTTGTCTCGAAAAAGGGATGTAAATTAGACATTTCAAAATTGCAAATGAAGCTGGGATTTAAGTTTCCCGGGTTTCATTTGCATAATGGCAGTTGCAGTTTTTTCCGAAATGGGGCTTTGACAAAAAAACAGCAGTTTAGACAGGGATCTTTCGAAAATCAATCCCTTTTTCAAAAGATCCTGTATGCCTCAAAAAGGGTTTATTTTCAAAACATCCCCATCTAAACTGCCGTTTTTCTATCGAAAAGCCCCATTTTGAAAAAAACTGCAGCCGTGAGTATGCAAATGAAGTGCAGGAAACTTAAATCCTGGCTTCATTTGCAATTTTGAATTGTCTAATTTACATTCCTTTTTCGAGAAAAGGGATGTAGTTTAGACATACCCTACGTGTCCTTTCCCAGTCTTCTAGAATCTCTCCTGTCTTCCATGACTTTTCTAAGGCAACAGTCAATAGCACAGATATCTCCTCAGTTAGCTTCTTGAGTATTTTAGGCTATGTATGTGCCAAATCTAATGGGAATAAAACGCATCACCAGAGAAGGTGAAGTCTGACAGCAGACTCAATAAACATGAGAACAACAGACATCCTTCAATTGAGCCAGTTTGTGTTTACTGTTTGGAAAAGATGCAGTCTTGAGCACACTCAAAGACAAAAACTCCAGGAGAGTTCTCAGAAAAGGGATAAAAATGTAGCCGTGTTAGTGTGGTGTAGCTGAAACAAAAAACAAGGCTATGTAGCACTTTAAAGACTAACAAGATGGTTTAATAGGTGATGAGCTTTCGTGGGCCAGACCCACTTCCTCAGATCAAATAGTGGAAGAAAATTCTGGCCCACGAAAACTCATCACCTATTAAACCATCTTGTTAGTCTTTAAAGTGCTACACAGTCCTGTTTTTTGTCTCAGAAAAGGGGGCCCTCTGGTGCTAAGAACTGCTTATGACCATGTAAGAGAAAAAAACAACCAAGCACTGATACATTACACAGGAAAGATTCTGCCAGCAAGAGTGACTCATGAAAGTGGATGCCATCTTTCAGAACTTAACAAGTGCTGAAAGACCTAACCACTGGGTAAGAAATATTTTATAAGACAGGAAAATAATTTAATAATATAAGCTATATCAGGTGTGGTCAATCTAAACCTGAGAAGGAGCCAGAATTTACTAATGCACATTGCCAAAGATCAACAGTTCTATGTCACCAGCTCTGATCATCTCCCCAGCACCACTCTCAGCACATCCCTTCCACAGGCAGCCCCACCCATCACCTTCTGCCCACTCTTATCAGCTCTCTCTCAGTGGGAGACACTGGAGGGAGAAGCATGAGTGTGACAGGCACAGTGGAGAAGGTAGGAAGTGGCAGGATCCAAGGGGGAAAAGGGTGGGGGTTGACAGCACCTAGAGCAGAGCTGGGGGTTGAACAGTGAGCAACCTCCAGCCCAGTGCAAAGTTGGCACCAGCCCTGGATTTGGTACCTATGTAAGGAGCCACATATTAACTTCTGAAGAGCCACACATGGCTCTGGAGCCACAGGTTGGCCACCCCTGAGCTACAGAATGTATTCTGTTTCTTTTACCTGTAATCTTATGGTTTTCAAATTCTTATCCTTGCTTTTATTTTAATCTTTATCCCAAGCTCTATTAAATAAACTTCCATTTGGTTTTACCTGTCTAAGCACCTCATGCTAAGGAGAGTATTGAACTCAGGTAAAACCAGTGAAACTAGGATGCACTATTTCCAGAGGCTGCAGACTGGTATGCATTGGGGATGTCAAGAAGATAAGGAATGGGGGATTC